TTGCTTTACAAGTTTACCACCTCTGGATTCTCACACCTGCATCCGCAGCCACCAGTTGAACGTGTTCTTTTGGTTTTGATACGTGATGAAAGTGAGATGCATAGATTTCGGGAGGGGCACATTTTAGTAGTGTTTTACTAACTGTGGATAGTAATCTTTGATGCTACGCTAGGCAGGACAATGGGCTGTTTCTTTTCTTCCTATTCCATTGTATTGCTGTAAGAAGGCACAACACGTAGTCGGCCCTCCTGAGGGATTTGTAAGTGCGTGACCCCGCGTGTGAGCCATGGCACATGTTGTGCAGCAGGGCTCCAGGACTTGCTCGTCTCCCGTGACCATGATGTTACATCTCCCAACAGCTCCGCACAGCCTCCGCCTCAGCCTCGGCAACCTACCCCATTCCCTGCGAGTCTGAGTCCGACTCCTCTGAGGACCGCGCACAAGTGGGGTCATGCAGAATGTGTCTTCCTGTCAGTGCAACATCCCCAGGCCCATCCATGCTGGAGCAGCATCAGAACGCCCTTCCTTCTCAAGGCTAACGACACCTCTCTGTATGTGTACACTGCATCTGCACGACCCCTTCACCCAACGGGACGAGTAGGGAGTTCACATCTTTATCGGAGGGAACAATGCTGCAGGGCCTTTAGGGGTGCACTAATCCCTCCCTAGATCCTGCTTTCAAATCCTTTGGACAAACACTCGCAGGGCCAGGTGGCCGTTCTACTTTCCATTTTTTGAAGACCCTTCATACTGTTCTCCATAGCAGCTGCACATCTTACATTTATCCTGACAATGCACAGGACTCTGATTTCTCTGAATCCTCACTAATACTTGCGTTTCACTGTCTCTTTTTAAACTGGTAACAGCCATCCTGACAGGCACGAGGTGGTCTCTTGTGGTAGTTTTGATATGCATTTCCTGGATGATCAATGACATTGAGTATCTTTTCAAATACCTGTTCATTCCTGTGTTTTTGGAGAAAGCTTGGTTCAAATCCTTTGTTTATTTTAAAGTGGTTGCTAGGGTGTTTCTTTTTTGCTGTGAACTGTAGAATTCCTTCTATATTCTGATAATTAGCCTCTTAATCAGGTCTGTGCTTATTTTTTCCCATTCTGTAGATTGTCTTTTCATGTGGTTGATTGTTTGCTGTGCAGCACTAGTTCCATGTGTCCCCACAAGTCTACTTTTGCTTTTGTTGCCTTGCTTTTGGTGTTACACACACGTTTATTTCCAACACCAAAGGCACAAAGCTCTGTGCCTTTGCTTTCTTCCCGGAGCTCTACCGGTTCTGGTCCTATGTGTAAGAGCCCAGAAATACACCCACACATAAACGGTCAGCAGATCCCCAAGAACAGTGCCAGGAATTCACAACGGGGAAAGGACAGTCTGTCTTTCCAACAAATGATGTTGGGAAAACTGGATACCTACAAGGGAAAGAATGAAACCGAACCCTTATCTTACACAATACACAAACACTGATAGCTTCTTGAAGATGAGTTGTAATGTGTAACCTGAGCTTTTTCTTCTCAGTTACATTCACACATTGGCCTGTCTTTCACTTTGGGTGTGTCCCTTACCTTTGGTGAAGTTAGATCATGAAGTCTTGGTCATGTGGAAAATAACGGGTCCCTCAGCATTTCAGATGTAGAAACCACTCATTCTACAACACGAGATGCTCATACCACTAATACCTCCACTCACTGCACTGGCAAAGGCTTTAAGTCATGGGAAGTGATGAGGATTTTGGTGGTGGTGATTTCCAGCATTTTAAATTTCATGTGAAAGTTCACCTTTATCACTGGCAACCAACACCACTAGTGGTTTTCTCTGGACTGACCAGAGCACTTCATTCACGTTGAAGAAAATATCTGCTAAGCACTAAGCTCTGAGCTGTTTTTAGGTCATTCTTTCAAGTAAAATTGAGCTCCATCAACGCAGTGGCTGGCCCAGCTCTGACCCTGGCCATGGAGCATTTCCATGGGCAACACCAAAGGGATTTCAGGCACTTTCCATTCTGGAAGAACGTCAGGAGGATCTGTGCTTGAGCATTAAGGTTTAGTAAAATAAACACTCCGCTAGCTCATCCAGAACACTCTCAAGTGGAACTATTTCCCTTGTCTTTTTCCCCAGTGCCGTCAGCATGGGCCGCTTGCCCCAGAGCTGTTTTGACGCCATTAATCTGAGTGGCTGCACAGGCAACAATGAAAGTGGCCTCTTCGCATCGTGAATATCAACTTGACCTCAGGAACGCCTGAGAAAGTCTTAGGAAAGCCCCGGGGGCCTAGACCACACTTCAAAACTTACTGCGTTAGCAGAAAGATCGTGGGAGGAGCCTAGATTATTTTTCTCCCTTGTGAGAATGCAGCATAAAACATTTTTAAACACAACACCTATTTAAGAGAAGCCCACTGAGCTTTCTGACAACTCCAGCAGCAAATGTTGCAGGCTGAAAATCAGTGGTCTTCCACATTATCAATGCTTTTGCTGTAGATGTATTATACAGCAAAACCAAATTTCAGAGCATTTGAAACAACTAAAATATATGCAAATTTTTGGGCCTATGAAAATAAATAGCTAACACTATCATGTGCACCATGAACCAACAATCTGCTTAAGAAATGGAGCATTCAGTCCATGGCTGAAGCCACCACATGCCTTGGCCTGTTCCTGAGAGCTCACCTTCATCCTAGTGAGATGATTACCATCACCTGAATTTCTATGTCCCAAAACAAAACGTAATATTTCTAGCAAAAATATTTCCTGTGCACTTGACATTTTTGTAGGCCTCTGCCAGATGCCGGGAGTGGGGCTTCTTATCACTGGGTGCATATGTCTTCAAATCCACAAGCTATTGGCAATTTGATGCCCAAAGTGGTTATATCAAGCTGTATTCCCTCCAGCAGTGTACAGAACTCTCTTTTCTCCACATTCTCAGCAGCATGTGGGACAATGGGAATTTTAAATTCCTGGTTGTTATTTTGGGTGTAAAGTGCAATTTTATTATAGATTAATTTGCCTATCTCTGATTATCTCTGATCACATTTGTAAGTTTATCCACCATTGGAGAGTTTTTCCATAAATCATCTTGTCAAATTTGTTACAATTTTTGCTGTTGTTTATCGTTTAGTATTTTTGTAGGACTTCTTGGAATAAGTTGGATTTTAACCCTTTGGTCCTTCTGTGGGGTAGAGATACAGTCTACGTGATGATGAGTTTTCAGTTTTTTACAATGTCCCTTGATGGACCATTTGAACTTCGTTACGATCCCTTTTACCATTTGTGTCCTGTGTGGCTCATGTCTTTTAAGACTTCCCCAGTGCATACTCCCTTCTCTAGAGCCACAAATCATGTCTGTATTTTTAAATAAAACTTTGCCTTCCATGATTAAACTCAACTCACCCAGATTTTGTCTCCGGGGATCCTATGAGTAGGGGGTAGAGTTTTATTTTATTTTTTCGATGTGGACAGAAATGTCCCAGCATGATTTGTTGAATTCTTTCTCCACCGACCCACAGAGCTCCCTCCACCCTGTATCAGGGCTTGTGTGTTTGTAGAAAGCTTCCTAAAAGTGTGGCACCTGCTGCATTGCAATGGTGCTTGTTAAATTGCAAGGGTCAGATGGTTTGTAGGGCTGCTTCTATTCTCCATATCTCCACTGGCTTTGTTGGCTGGTGTGCTTGTTCTGTTAGGACAGAGGTCTGTGATCTCCAACTGCACTTGTGAATTTGTTCCTTTGACTTTCCAGTCCTGCAGGGTTTCCTTCCTGTGTTTAGGTTTATTATGTCCTCTGCATAAACTAACACTTTTATCATTATAAAACATCCTCTGCATCCCTGGTAATCTCTTTTCCTGAAGTCAACTTTTCCTGATGTTAATAGACCCACTCCAGCCCTCTTATCCTTTTAGGTCTACTTTGGGTTTTTATGTTTGTTTCTTCTTTGTTTCCTGAGACAAGGTCTCACTATGTGGTTCAGACCAATCATAAACTCATTATGTACCCCAGGATGGCCTCACGCTCTTGGCATCCCCTTGCCCAAGTCTCCTGAGTGCTAGGATTAAAGATGCGCACCACCACGCCTGAACTAGATCCTTCTGCTTCTGACCTGTGTCTTCATATTTAAAGTGCATTTCTTGTACTATGTATGGTTGGGTAGTTGTTATAGTTTAAATGTAAAAAATCCCCCAGAAGTTTCATGTGTTCAAAGGCAGGGCTTTTAGAAGGTTACTGGGCCACTGCTGGACCCCTAGGGAGTGGAATGACAGAAAGTGGCCCAGCCAGAGCATGCAGGTCCCTGGAGCCATGTCTTTGAAGGATACATCTGTTCCTCCGTCACGTCACTTCCTGTCTGGCTCTTGCCCTGCTGTCTGCTTCCCAAGCGCTGCGTTTCCTTGTCACGCCCTTCTGCCATGATGTCCTCCAGGGAGCCAGCTCACCATGGACTGAAGTCTCTAAAACTGTGAACCAAAACAAGCCTCTTCTTCAAGTGTGTGTGCTAGGTATTTTGTCTCAGCAATAGAGAGGTGACTAATGCAGTCATGTTCATTTATGCAATCCAATAATCTTTGCCTTTTATCTGTTTAGATCATGTATAGTTATGGTATTATTAAATTCATTTCTACTTTTAGCCCCTAAGATACATTGTATAATTTTAGTGCTAAACAGCCAATTATCTTTTTCCTCCAGTACTGGGAGCTGAACACAGGCCTTTCACACTGAGCTACATCTCTAGCCCCTTTTTTTACTTTGAAATAGGGTTTTGCTAAGTCTCTACGTTACCTAATCTGAGCTCAAACTTGCAATCTTCCTCACTCAACCTACCACAGTACCCAATTATCTGTTAAAGAATTTCAAAAGTGCCATTTCCTTGTTTTGGTTTCTTCTGGTACCGGGAATCAAACTCTCGACCTCACGCTTGCCAGGCAGGCACTGTGCCACTGAGCTAAATCCCTAGCCCCAAGAATTTCAAAAGTGAAAGAAGAAAAGTTTTAAATTTACCTACAATTAGCCATTTCTGGTGCTCATCGTCTCCTTGTGCAGATCCAAGTGTGTACACTTGTGTCCGAATGTGACAGGTACTGCCTCAGGGACATCTCATGCGGTCCTTGTGTTACCCCACTTATCAAGAGGAAATCGCAGGGCTCCAGAGTGATTTTAGAGTTGCCTGGCTCCACAAGGCAGGTCCAGCGTTGGTGACAGCTCACTGGTCTGTGCAGCTGGTAGTGAGGCTGGCAGGGGTGGGTGGGCCGAGGGCACTCCCACCTGCCTGTGGGTGGGCAGGGTCACTGCACAGAAGAGTGTGCAGGGGAGGAGGGGTGAGGCTGCAGCATGAGCTGTGTGTCTGCGAGCTGCAGGGAGGGGCAGGGAAGATCAGATGGCCCAGGTCAGGCAGGCTGGACAGCAAAGGACAGCCAGAAGGAGATCCTGTCCCTCACCCAGACCTCGGAGCTGGCAAGGCACGAGAAAACCACGCAGCAGGCAGAGATGGAGGGAGAAAGCATGGTTGCCAAGGGAACGAGTTGGATGCTCCCACCTGACCCAGACCAAGAAGCCACCTGGCTGGGTCCTGGCTGGGCCTTTTCCTCAGTTTCCTTCTGCACCCATGTGCCACCTGCTCAGGGCCCTACAAGGCAGCCCCAGGACCTGGCATCTGACCAGCACCCTCCTCCCGTGTGCCGCAGCTTCTTCCTCCTACACAGGCCCTTCCTGTCTCGAGGGGAGCTCAGGTCATTGACACCTCTGGGATCTGTGTGGTGCAGACTCCTAGGGGTCCAGAAGTCAAAAGAGCAGCCCTGTACCCTCTGCTCAGCAGCAGGCTGTGCGGGTCTCCGGTGTCTCCTTTGCCCCATCCTCATCCCTGTGTTCATTCACAGAAAGACGAAATCTACATGGGAGCTTCCTGAAGGCTTTTGGACATCGTTAGAGTCCAGATAGAGTCGTGGTGTCCAACCCTAACAGAAAATAAGTGATAAATAGATACACTGGGCAGACGGGAAGGAGGGGCCCTGTGCTCGTGCCTGATGCCAGAACCGATCACAGAAGACCCTGCCAGGCCTACAGCCTCCACACAGGCCATGGGATGGTGTAGTAAATACTTCTGCAAAGACGTCAGCCTGCGCCAGCTCTGCCCAGCCTTGGACAGGAGCCACCCTTGCTGCTCATCCTTGAGCACCTTTGCTCTTACTCCTGCAGCAAGGACTGTGGCTTCGGAACCGCTTATGTCAGCCTTTGAAACTGCCTGCCTCCCTCCCGAGCACGCACAGCTCACTGTGCTCTGCGTTCACGTGGGGCTGCCCCAGAGAAAGCCACCCTGCCGGCCTGCTGTTCTGGCTGATGGGAGACAGCAAGCCCCTTTCCCAGCTATACTCTGTCTTTTGATCCTCGCTTCAATGGGGTCATGTATCAGTCAGCGTTTCATTGCTGGAATAAAATGCACAGCACCTGCAGCTTAAAAAGGAGAAGCTTAATTTGGCTCTCAGTGTCAGAGGTCTCAGTCCGTGGACTAAGGTGGGAACAGCATCGTGGATCAAAGATGTTCAGTTCCTGGTGGCCGGAGCAGGGCACAGGGACAGAGGGCCAGCCAGAGACACGCCTCCCGAGGCCCATGTCCAACGTCCTGCCTTCTCCAACCAGCTGCCTCCTGACAGCACGTTCAGCCTGACCTGCCGTGGATCAATCCAGCGAGGAGCACAGCAGCCGTGACTGAGGGCCGCTCCAGGAGTGTCTGAACCCATCAGGTCAACGATGAAGGTTAACTGGCACAAGTGCTGTGCAAGGTCAAGGCGAGTCCCTCGATCTGTGGTTTGAAGCATGGAGAGGGAAGGGGACCCAGCCCCCGACGGTATGTGGGGTAAGAATTAGGAAAACAGAGGAAGCAGGGTCACACACATGACCTTGTGTGCCCGCTTCCCGTACTCTCACGTGAGCATGAGGCACAGTCCTCCTGGTAGGATCTAATGGGCCAGAGGAAGACGTGACCAAGAAAGCAATCTTGGGAAGGGCTCGGGGTGGGGAAGGGGAACAGGGGATTCCAGTCTGCATGGGCTGCAGGGTGGAGCTGAGACCCTGCCCCCAGTCACCTCGGCAGAGGACAGGGCCCTGTGCATGGGGTGCGGCACAGCTGAGACTGGGCGACCTCTCCCTTGCAGAAGGACTCCCCATGCAGACTGTGAGGCCGGCCCCGCAGGTGGAAAAGAGTGGTGCTCCGGGAGGGAGCACTCTGCAGGAAAGGCACTCTGTCCCGGCGCGGCCCAGCCCTTGTCCTCCTCCCTGACCAGAGACTCTCAGGAGCAGAACCGGCCCGCACCCATGTGGCTCGCTGAGCCTCTAGGTGCTTCTGCCCAGAGCGCTTCCCCCCAGAATCTGCTGGAGGCCCGTGGCAGTGCTGCCCCTCCCCCTTTGCAGTGCCTGGACCTCTCCCGCCCCGCCCCCACCACACTCACCTGTGCCCGGGCTGCCTAACCTCACCCAGTCTACTCTCCTGAGCCACAGCGGCTGCGCCTGCCTGCATGGCCTCCTGTCTCCAGCTGGTTTCCCAGCCTGCCGGACCCCGCTGTCAGAAGGGCCGTGCCTCTTTTCTGCCACCACCCTGCCCAGGCCAGCGAGTTCTGTTACAGATGCCGGGAACAGTCTATCAGTCCTGGGTCCCTGCCGTGCATGCCAGCCAGCTGGCAAGGGGCACAGGGATGGTCTCACGATATTCCGGCCGCAGACCAAGACAGGGAGAGTCCAGGGGGCAGGGAGAGGCGGTGTCGGAACAGATGCTAAATCTGTCACCAGGTTCCAGGTGCGAGGGCCTGGCCAGGTCTCAGCCTGGGCAATGCAGACGAGAACAGAATCTTGCCCGCCTGTGTGTCTCTGCAGTTTCTCCCATTTCAGAGCTGGTGAGAGAGCCGGGCCTGTCCCAGGGCAGCTACCCGGACCGGGATCCCTGTCACCAGAGCACACCCACGTCAGCGCCATGATGGCACCATGTGGGCACCATGTGTTCCACTAGGCCACAAAGACGCTACCTCTCCTGGGACATTTCCCTCTGAGGCCCCGGGACCTGTGCTCACTCGGCTTCATGACGCCCACCAGGAAGGTCTCTCTCTGGACACCAAGGGGGTCATGGTCTGCAGGGCTGGCTGCACTGCAGGCCAGGTCAGTGTGTCCCAGTACTGGCTTCTTTTGGGGGAACTCTCATTATTCCTGGCCCATCAGAGCAGAGTCTTTTTCAGTTCCCCACCCAGTGGTCAGCATGGGGTCATTCACATGGGCTGAGCTGGCCACATCTGCCTCTCCTGATGAACCCCACCCCACCCCACCCCACAGAGTGACCCACATGCCTGGCACCCTGTCTCACTTCCCGGGTCTCTGGCATCTTACGATGTCAAGGGCCAAGGATATCTCGTGAGACTCTTGCCTGGTCCTCCTGGTCTCTGTCATAGTGAGAAGCACACATCCTCCCGGCCAGCCTGGGCCCACGGCCCAGGACACCTGCAGCCCAGCTCCCACGTTTGGCTCTGTCCCCCATCAGCCTCCCCTGGCCCTCCTGCAGTGTGGGGAATTTGAGCTTCTGGGACTGGACCCTTCTGCTTGGCATAGTGATTTTCAGTTTATCACTCTTCAACAGTGTCACCATTTGGGCAAATGTCCCCGAAGTTCTACACGTTAATGGCTGGGTCCCTGGGGCGGTGCTATGGGAGGTGCTGTGAGGTTTGGGCACAGGGCCCTGGGGGAGGTCCAGGCCACGGGGGTGTCTGCAGAGTCCATGGGAACTTCCACCGTCTGCTCCCTGGCTCAGGAAGGCAGAAGTTTCTCTACCATGTGCTCCTGCCATGCCCTGCGGCCCTAACCACAGGCCTAAGCAACGTGGCCACTTGATCATGGATTGGAACCAGGAGCTGAGTTCACCTTTTCTTTTTATAAGTTACCTGCCTCAGGTGTGTCATCAGAGTCACAGGACGCTGGTGCGCAAGCGGAATCAGACTTCGTTTCTTCTTGTGTGTGGCCCGCGTCTCATCCCTCCATTCCTGCGTTGACAGGCATTGGAGTTCTTCCCTTTCAGCTGCTCTCGACAGTGTGCTATACACTTTCACGTGCAGGTTTGTGCGGACTTCGTCTCTGTTTTCTTGTGTGTACATCTAGGAGAGGAATTGCTGTGTCACCCAGTAACAATATAGGTAACCCTGGAGGAACAGCTAGACTATTGCTCAATGTGGAGGAGCCACCCAACAGCTCCAGTAGCGGTGTGCTGGTTCTGTTCCAGTTGTCCACATCCGTCCCGCAGCCCAGATGGTCCCTTCATGGCCATCCTAGTGGGGATGAAGTGACGTTTTTGGGGTTTTATTTGTGCTTCTCCGGTGGTTCATGATATCCAATATCTTTCAGGTGAGTACTGGGCATTTTTGTATCTTCTTTGGAGAAATGCATATCAGCTACTTTATTTTTAAATTGAGTTGTCTTTTTATCATTGAGTAGTAAGAGTGCTTTATGGATTCTATATACATATCTTTGATGCAATGTACAATTTGCAAGTACTTTTTCCTCTTCTATAGAATGTATTTTATTTTTTTATAGTACCCTGTGAAGCACAAACAGTTTAAGTTTTGTTGAAGTCCAATTAAGCTATTTTTCTTTTATTAGTTAAGCTCTTTGGTTCCCTAAGTGTGTTAGTCAGCTTTGTAGTCCTGTGACAAAATAGTTGAATTTGACACTTGAAAGGACAAGAGCTTTATTTTGACTCACAGTTTCCGAGGGCTCAGTCCTTGGTCAGCGGGGTCCATTGCATGGGGCTGAGGTGATGTGTGACGTCACGGTAGGGAGGGCAGGGAGGACAGAGCTACTCACCTTATGGCAGCCAGGAAGCAGCCAGGGACTAGATACCATCCCTAGGTCAGAGCCCCATGACCTTCTCCCTTTAGCTCCACCTCTTGTTTCTGCCTCCCAATAACGCCATCACCTTGTGGTCTCATAGTGGACGAATTCACTGAAGAAATGACAGCCCTTGCCTAAAGTCCACCAGCACCCCAGCCTTCAGCACCTGAAACCTTTTGGGGGCCATATCATACTACTCTTACCTACTACCATGCAAGAAACCATTGCCCAGCCCAAAATAACGTGGATGTACACGTATGTTCACGTCTAAGGGTTTTAGGCCTTACCTTTCCGTCTTTGATTCATTTCTGAGGTTTTTACATCGTCTTGTGGAGTAGCAGGTCCACCTTCATTCTTTGGCATGCCATCATTCACTTGTCCCAGCGCTGTCTGTTCAGAAAGCGTACTCTTTCTCTGCTGAGCTGTCTTAGCACTCTTGCTGAAAATCAGTTAATTACTCTGGACTCTCCATTCTATTTCACGGATGGACAATTTTAGCCTCACGCCGGTGCCACGCTGTCCTGCTTCCTGTAGATTTGTAGTGGATTTTTAAATGAGGAAGTGTGAGTCTGCCAGCTTTGTTCCCCTTTTCCAAGGCTTTTTTTTTTTCTTGGTTGGCCTATCAGAGTTTCTATGTAAATTTCAGGATCAGAGGGGTAAGGCTCTGCAGGAGAGCCAGTTGGGATTTTGGCAAAAATCGGTTTAAAGAATGTTGCCATTTATCCATCTGAGGTCCGCTGAGAAAGTAAGCCATAGAATAGTCGTAGAATAGTCAAGAGATTGAAACCCACGGGGCAGGCAGGCCTCAGGGACACAGGCTGGACCTGGGGCACACGTTGAAGCTGCCGTCCCCAGCCGAATTTCTGCTCAGAGAAGGTTCAGCTTTGCTCTTGATGTCTTTCAGCTGATGGAATCAGGTTCCCCACAACCCTGTGGACTCGTCTTCCTTACTTAGAGTCAGCTGACTGCGGACTTGATTAAAGCCAAATGCCTTCACAGAAACACCTGGCTAGACCTTGGCTGAGTACTACTTATCACAGGCTAGCCAAGGGGAAGTGTAAAACTACCATGTTACCAATATTACGTTTTCTAATCCGTGAAGACAGGATGTCTTTCCAGTTTCTTAAGTCTTCTTTAATCTCTTTAAAAAATGTTCTATAGTGTTCAGAGTGTAAGTTTTGTATGTCTCTGAAAAATCCGAGTTTTATACTTCTTTGATAAACTCTTAAGTATGTATTCTTTTTTGATGTTATTATAAGTGGACTTGTTAATTCTGTTTTCATATAGTTTATTGCTGGTATATACAAAGAGAATTGATCATTATATGCTTTTGTGTCCTGTTCTTGATATTAGTTCTCCATTTATTAGTAATTTCCTTAGAAATTGCTGCATATTGTATCATTTTTGAGTTCGTGTAACATTAGTGACTTTGGAGGAAAAATGAATATGACCCAAATCATTACACTTTTCTCTTAAAAGTTGACAGCTCATTATTTTAGAAACTCAAGTAATTTATTCTTAACTAATAGCTTCATTTTGTTTTAAAAGAAAGCTCACAATATGGTAAAATTTGAGGAAATCTAAACACCTAGGCATATGGTAGATACGTTACGAATCAAGTGTCAGCATCTCTTAGTTACTGCTCGTCCATTCGCCTCCCCATTTCTTCTGTTAGGAGCTGTAATTATTAAAAGCTTCCCCAGTGGAGGCCGCTGTCCCGGACCCAGCCGTGGGGATGTCCCCTGCTGATGGAACTGACCAGTCTTGCAATGCCCTCTGTGAAAGTCCTTCGATGGCTGCCCTTCCTCTTCAAGAAGAGGGAACCCCACACAGCACGTTGGTTTCTGAGGGCCTGCTTTTCTGAATTGCGTGGATTTCCTTGCAGTCCTGGCACCACTGTGGATGAGTCATCCCCTGTCCCACATGGGCAGCACTCCGTGGAGGTGTCTCCTGTAATGTCATGGCCCTTTGCTGTGCTCCCAGCTCCCTCCCCAGGCTCCCAGGGCTCACATCTGGGTCCCCTCGGCTCCGCCGTTTTCCTTGGCTGTCTCACACACAGCCTCACCTGTAGGTGATGCCCACATGCTACCATGCACCTTTTGGTGCAGGTGATGCTCACAGGTTATGTACCTGTGGATGGTGCTCTCGGAAACTGCCCCTGCTCACAGCAGGTGGTATCAAGGGATACAGCCTTCTGCTCTTTGTCTCCTCACTTTACACCACTGCCCCAGGCCCAGCCGCGGCCTCTGCCCAGATGATGACACCGGCATCCTCATCCGGGCCCTGGCTGCTTTGCCTCCCTGGAATCTGCTCCACACACCAGAGAGGTCTTTCAACCCACAGTGGACAGGGCCTCAGCTCCAATACCACCCACAGGAATCCCTCTGTTCTCCAAATGGAGCAAATGGCCACCCACGGCTTCCTGGAGTGTCCCGGACCCTGCTCGGCTCCCCTCAGACCTTCCTGTCCACCCTCTGGTCTCCTACCTTCTCTGCAGATCCTGCACACACAACGTGGAGGAGCTCCTGATCCTGCGCTTCCCCCAAACCCAGGCTCGTTCCGCCCAGGC